AGAGAAACCAGCAGAAGATAAAATGGACATGTTGACATTTCTGAACAAAAACTATCCAACTGCTAACGATTTCCTTCTTTCAGATGTCAAGAAGAAATATAAAGAAACCTTCGGCATAGTTAAAATTTTTGATATCCTTCGTGAAGAAATAGAAGCTACAAAACTGTTTAAAGTCATGAACCATCACAACATATACCATGTAAAACGCTTATAAAATAACTGGGGTAGAAAAGAGGGTAGAAAACGGGGTAGATATACCCTTCTACCCTAAAATATATTTTTGTCTGATTTACGCTCATTACGAAGAAGTCTTGACAAAACATTTACGAAGAAGTCTTGACAAAACATATACGTTCATGTTTGACAAAACATGTACGATGAAATCATGAAAATTCAAGAGGGTAGAAATGAGGGTAGAAAACGGGGTAGATATACCCTTCTACCCTAAAATATATTTTTGCTGAAAAAAATGACACTTTTTCATTATATAACTGTTATACAAGATAGAAAATCTTTCTCGCCTAAAACTCATGAAAATCGTAAAAAATTGCGAGTAGGGAAAAAAACCTGGTCGCCTAAAACTCATGAAAATCGTGAAAAAATGACCAAATTTCATGATATAACTGTATTTTTTTGACGAAGAGAACTTTTACTCTTCGTAAAAAAAATCCCTGAAATCATATCTTTTATACAAGATAGAAAAAATAAAGTTAGTTTTATTTTTTTTTATTTTTTTATTTTGTATGTAAGAACAGGAAATGTCAAACACTGAGTTTGAAACAGTTAGAAAGATAGACAATGACACCAAAATGGTTAGAATTGGTGATTTAAACGTAAGATACTCAAAGAAATACAACAAATATTCTTTGTCAGACATTATATCTCCATCTGGAAAGAAAACAAACGACTGGGTTAAAATTGCTTCAACTCAGAAAATTTTGACAAGAAATCCTGAGCTTATGATATCGGTAAGATTTCATGGAACTACAGCATATCTTATAGACAAAAGTCTTATACCAGTAGTTTTGTTCTGGTTAGACCCAGTTGTTGGATATAACTTCATAACATATGGTTCATTCGATACTGAACGTTGCAGTGAAGGCTTACTTTACATCGTTCAGAAACCGAAGGACTTCAATACAAAGAGATATAAGATAGGAAGAACATATAATATAACTAAAAGATATGACAGTATAGTCAATAGAGTTAAGGTTGTGTTCGTTAACGATATGAGAGCTGCAGAAACAGAACTACTTGAAAAGTTTGAGAAAATGTATGGTGCTCCCATAAAAGGTAAAGAAACGTTTGAAGTAGATGAGATAGGTAAAGCTATAAAATTATTTGACGAAGTTGCTGAAAAATACATGTAAAGCGTTTATTTTTGGTCTTTTATACAAGATAGAAAAACTAACGCTAGTTTTTTATAAAATATTTTTTTTATTTTGTATGTAAAGACAGATATGTCAACAACAGAGAACACAACAACAGTTATAGTCCATGAAGCTATAAATGAAGAATATGAGTACATACAGTTTAACAAACAACTCCGTCTCATTCGTTCGGTCAAAGACGATATGTACCAAATGCAAAGTATTTTGACAGCATGTTTTGCTCCAGATACCAAACATACAGACGATTGGTTTGAATTAAATAGCACTCATGAACTCCTCAGTGAGTTTGAACATGTAGAACTTAAAAAGATGTACCAAGACAGACAAAACTTACCATCACATCTAAAAGGTATATATGTTCATAAGTTCCTAGTTAGTTCAATAGCAATGTGGGCTTCACCTCGCTATTCATGGTATGTTTGTAAACTTCTTGACGAACTTTGTACAAAGCAGAGAGAAGATATGATGAAAGAAGACAAAAACATACAGAAAAGAATACCACGTTCGGTACCAAAAGGAAAGGAAAAGAACTATAAGTATATGATTTATACTGAAGAGATGGAAAATGAAGAAGATAAAGATATGGTTATGTTGCATTTAGTCAGAAGAAACAACAAAAGCTTTTACGACCTTGCTAAGATTTACAAATCTGACAGAAATTGGTTCTATCGCGAAAACTTACCGATTTCAATGACCCCAAATGAAGATGTGAAACAAATAGTTCAAGATACTTTACCTCAAACACACTATGATATTAAAGGTTGTACAATACTTACATTCAAAGAAGATTTGCCGCTACTGAAGGAAAAAATAACAGAGTATTTTGACAACTTCAAACAAGTAGGGTAGATGAACCATTTATTTTTCAAGCTTGACTTCAGATGGCTCAGGTAGCTCTATAAAGTAAATTGCCTTGTCAAATCCTTCTGGCATTCCAAGTCCTTCCATCCGACAAGAAAAAAATTTCCCGACAACTGGAAAAAATTTTCCAGTTGTCCGTCCGTAAACCATTCAAATTTTCGAAAATTGAGAACTTTTTGGTCGAACTTCAGGAAAAGTTTTTCCTTCCAACAGAAAAAATTTTTCCTTCCAACAGGAAAAGTTCTTCCTTCCGACAGGAAAAGTTCTTCCTTCCGACAGGACACAAACGAATGTCCGACGTACCACCAACCGAGTCCATTCCAAAGCCAGAAGAACCGAAAGCTGCAGAACCACAACAGACTAAGACTCAAACACTTACATTTTTACGCTTGACTTTTTACAATTTGAACTTTGTTCGCGTAGATGTGAATTCTGAAAGAAGTATGAGGGTCTTGTATGACTTTGTACTTCTCCCATAGTTCATGTCTGTCAAACTTACCTGCCATGGACTCTTTCATAAGTTCCATGAAATCGTCTTCGGACAATCCAGGGAAAAGTATGATATCAGTAAGTATTCTCTTTACATCCTTACTTAAACTCTTTGCTGTCTGTACACAAATGACAACTGAGATGTTAAAGTGTCTGAGCTTCTTAAGAATTCGACACATATCTTGTTCTCTATTCTTAAGCAAAGGATGAGAGGCGAAATCATCTAAGATAAGAAGACATCTGTGAGGGTAAGTCTTCCAATCGTAAGATTGCAATTTCTTCGAAATGTATTCTATCTCTTTCTGTTTGTTTCTGAAGTGTTTCTTCTCTAATATTCTCTGCATTTCCTCATTTGGGTCTTTAAACTTCGAGTTTATATACTCATTTATAGCATTGTACTTCAAAACTCTTCTTTGGTACTTCTTTATCCAATCTAACAACTCAGAGTCTTTTATACATACTAACTTAGACTTTTTTATAATATCTTTGAACGAATTTACGGTTTGGTCAAATTGACCAGAAGTACTACAAATGACTACTTAACTCATAGAATGGGTTCTTCTCATCATAGTTCTTGTTGTTGTGCAGCCATTTTAAGATAAGTGAAAGTCTTACCCGACCCAGGTGGTGCGATTAGACCTGTTATACCATTCTGAGCAAATAAGAACTTGTCATGTATGGGTTTTATCTGAGCATTTTCTAACTTCCTCTTGTTCTTGTTTAAAACATTCTCAAATTTCTTGTCAATGTCAGCAAACTTTTTTTCTAACATATTTTTAGAAAAATTAAAATTTTTATCTTTTTGAAAATGTCTAGCGATTTCGCTATCTATATTCGAGACAAGCTTTTTGATAGCAAAACATCTGTCGACCATAAAATCTTACATAGTGTAAACAAGAAAGGTGAATTTGTTCTAAAGTTCTGTTTCTGGGAATATGACAAGAACCATAAAACATTACAAAGAGCAGTCTTAAAATTTGTCAATGACAGACTTGTTGACAGAGATGACGCCGATTGGAAAGATGAAGTCCAACAAAAGTTCTTAGAATGCAAAGAAGGCACATGCGCTGTTCTTGAAGATGAAATAGAAAACAGAATAGAAGAGCTATTAAAGGACAAAGAACTTTTACATAAATATGGTTCTGAGAAATTTGACATAACTCCACCAGAGAAGAAGAAGAAGAGAGAGAAGAAAGAGAAAAAAGTAGAAGAGAAGAAAGAACCAGAGCCAGTTCCAGAGAAGGTGAGATATGACATGTAAAAATAAAATGTTATTTTTAGAACATTTCTGGGTCAATGTCAATGTTCTCTTCCTCTTTAGGAGCAAACACTGGCTTAGACTCTAAAATCTTTTTACCTAATTTACCTTGAACTTCTACAACTTTAGACTCATAATATTCATAGTCGTCTGCTTTCTTTGGTTCATAAGGTATAACAAGTTTGTATGCTTTGCCTTCTTTAAGGTTTGAGAACCTTCTGTCAAAATTTTCTTTGACTGCTAACAAACCTTCTATGTCTAAGTCTTCAAAAGTTGCACCACTTTTTCTAACAACAGCAAACTTAACTGGTGCAATGTTCCAAACTTTGTCAAATGTAGACTTTTCAAAATGGTAGAAGTAAACATTCAAATAAGCGAATGGGTCTAGTTCTTCTTTGACTTCTGTCATGTACTTGTTGACTGAAATATATTTCGTCATCTTTTTCTATCGGATAAAAAAATATTTTTTTTTAAAATTTACTCAGAAAAATTATTTCTTTCTATATTTGCCATTCCGAACTTTGAAAAGATGTTTTATACCAGCATAGAATTTTTCTCTAGAGCTTGGTCTTATATCGTTTTCATGACAATATTTTCTATATTCTTCATATAAAGCCTTTTTTTCATACATTTCATAAGGACAATCTAACCAGAATAGCGCATATCCATTTTCGTTATCTAGGTCTCTATATGTTTCTTCTGTTTGTAGAATTTCGCTTTCTCTATTTAGTTCTATGTCTATATATTGTGGCTTAAAAAGATGTGGGCAAGAAGGGTCTGGCGCTATGTAAAAAGTTAATTTTTCTGCCATCTTTTCTATCGGATAAAAAAATATTTTTTTTTTAAAATTTACTCAGAAAAATTTTTCTTTGTATATACGCCGTTCTGAACATCTAAAAGACTTTTGACATTTGCCAAGAATGTACGTTTAGACGCTGCCATATAACCATACTCTTGACAATATTGTTTATATTCATCGTACAATGACCTTTCATCTAAACACTCAAAGTCAGTTTCATCTATGAACAGTTCATATACACTCTTGTTTGCTTCTAACAATGTTTGTCTCTCTTCGGTATGTGGAATTTGTCTTGGATTGAACTTTGAAATATCTAATGTCATGAAATATGAGAACAAGTGGTTGTAAAAGTCAGATGTCAAAGTTTCTGCTAAGTCGTCAAAATATTCTGTATCTTGCATATGAGAATCTGACGTTCTGACAACTACATATCTTCTGTCAGAACTTTCTAACTTCATCGGAACAGCGTTGTTTGAAACCATAATGAAATTTGCAACATTTTCACAAACTCTTTGGTCTTTATATTTTCTTTCAACAACTCCAACTTTGTCTGTTATAAGACTCTTCAAAGCATCTGAGTTCAAAACCTTTGTTGTATCTATACTTTGAAGTTCGTTACATACTATAAGTTTCATATTCTCTATTGAAGAGTTAAATTTACCGCAGATGTTTTCTAAGTTTGTCATATTCGGATTCGAATAGCCCTCTAACAGTTTGCATAAGATATCTGTAAAGAAAGTGTTCTTACCTGTTCCTTGTTTTCCAATTATAATGAGAGCAGTTTCATTTTTAGCACTTGGATGTTGTAAGATGTTTGCAAACCAACATAAGATATACTCATAAACCTTTTCGTTTCCATTGCATATAATTTCTTTGACATGGTCTAACCAAGCTTCTATAACATTTTCTTTCCATTCTACTTGTTCGTATTTATATCCAGTGAAGATAGAATAGAAGTTTGGAGAAGGTGTATAGAACTTTATACCTCGAACTGAAAAATCTTCAAGTTTTGACAATAAGATATCCCAAGCATCTAACATCTTCATTCCAACTTGTACGACTTTTATTTTCTTAAGTTTCTGTCTACATTCTTGTTCAGACACTATTGTTGCTCTTGGTTTGTTAAAGACAACATCCCATTCTTTCATGACATAACATTCTGGGGCAGAGTCAACATAAATGACTAAACGTTTCAAATTCTCGACTGCTTTGTTATAGTCTCGAAATGGACACATATTTCTGAATGTTTGGAAGTCATAAAATCTGAAACATCTATTCTGTACATTTTTATAAAAAATAAAAAAAAATATTTTTTTTATTCTTGACTTTGTTGTTGCATTTGTTGCATTTGTTGTTCTTGAGCTATTTGTTGTTGAAGTTGTTCTTGTAATACAATACTTTCACCAGTTGCATCTTCCAATTCGAAAACTTTCTGCCGTCATTGACAAATACATAGGACATAAAAGTTTTACAGGAACAAAGTTTGCGTCAACTAAGGTTAAGTTTATGTTTGCTAAAGTGTTTGAGTTTACTAAAGCTGAAAATTCTGCATTCGAATGAACAATAGGCAAACCAGCAGAGAAAGTGTTGTTTATACGCATGAGTATCTTTTGGTCATAGTAGTTTCTGTCGACATTCGAATAACACTTGAACCTAAGTTTGAACAATATATAGATTGGTGTGCTTAATGTCAATGGAACAGACAAACCTTTGTATGCACCTTTTCCTGTTATAGGAAAACTGTTGGTAGTAAAAACCAGATATAAGTTTTGTATTATAGCTCATATCGTTTATACTAAACTCAGTCGGACATCCAAACATAATGAAACCTGCTCTAGTTGCAGCACATGTTACATCCGTCCTTAAAGTATTAAATAAGTCAACAAAACCTGTTTGGTGGTATATCTGAGTAAGTATCTTCAAAGAAGTATTTTTTACCATTCACAAACAACAAAGTCTTCTGGTGTCAAAAGAGCAAAACAGGCTTTAAGTCGTCATCGTGTTTAAAGTTAGTTTACAATATCGTCCTTGAGGACTTTGTAAGTTTGTTGTTATAGAATTATATGACTCAGGGTTTTTAGTCGTAATAGTATAAACCACTATGTCTTCTGCCATTTACTTAGCAAGTAAATTTTTAATGAAATGTTGTGGTCGTCAAATATTTTTATGACGTCTGGGAAACTATACTTTAAGTTCAACGTTTCACCTCCTTTCATAACGTATATCTTGTCAATGACATTATATGAAACACCACAGCAACAATGTCGGGTTCTATTTCTTTGATGTTTATATCGTCTGCTCTGTCAAAAGTTTCAATAGTTCTTTCAAAACTTCATGAGGTGCGATGACATATGAGTTCACTTTACAGGGTTGTGCTCAACCAAGTTTAACATTATACCTAAAGCTTGACAAATCTTCTCCTGAGTTTGAAGTTTGTTTTTCAGTTGTTGGTAGTCGTTTCGAATATCTGCAACAGAACTTAAGTCTCTGCTAACTTCAGGATATGTTTGGTTGTTCTTTTACAGGAACTATTGTTATACATCTTCGTCTTCGTATGGTTTTCCCCACTTCAACATCTCTTTTTTTGACATTGACAACAACACTTTGACTGTTTGTTTGAGTTGGTGAATTTAACTTCACATCTGCCATCGCCATTAAACCTTTTGAAACACTTACGCTTCTATTTTTCGGAAATGACATTTTACTTAGAATAAAAAGATGGACGTATTTGAGTATCTCTTCGAATTGAAGCAAAACAAAGTTTACACACACAAACAATACAAGTTCATTGATAGAATAGTTCTTTAATACAAACAATGGAAAATGTTATAGAATAGCAGTCTTTGCTGAACCAAAATATTTTCATAAAGCAAAGAAAGTTGGTATAACCGAGATGGTGAAGTTCTTGAAGCAGACAAAAATATAACAACAAAACTTACAGATTTTCTAAAGGTAAGTTTATAATACAATTTTATGTCAAAACTGGCGTACTGTCAATATTTGACGGAGAGAAGTCAGTTCAAGAACAACTTACTGACCTGCTGCCAAATCTGCTCGATGGAAGCTGTCGTTATGCCAATCTGAGGAGCCCCAGCAGGTTTCATCGAACGAATCTTCAAAAGAGCATCTTCCGTGAAAAGTGCTATTGGTTTTGTAAACTTCTTTGCTTTCAATTCATCTGGACCGTCTCTGTCACAGTAATTGTATTTGAACTGTACAACAGTTGAAATACCACCCATAAAGTCTTCTGAGTCAGCAAATGGAATGCCAAGCCAAAAGTTTGAACGGTCTCCATTTGTATATTGAGTTTTTTGACCTCCTGTATGAGTCCATACTTTCACATATGGCATAATAGAACTTTGCATTTCAGGGTTTATGGTTGTTGTGAAGTGTGTTAAAGTTCATAGCATCTAATGTCAAGTTGTATGACCTCATATCCTCAACTGTAAGAATATTCTTCTCTTGGATAGTATTTTGCCATCTATGTTTATATGATATTTAATACCGGGGTTGTAGAAACAAGAATAGTCATTTATAGTTCGTCTGAACAGTACAAACATAGTATCTGCATGTTTCATTGCAGTTGTTAAAGCAATATCTGTTCTTGCACCTGGGTCAGCACTTTGGTTTCCAACTTCACCTGCAAAGTCTTTGACAGATATTTGGTGTATAGGGAACATAAGTGGAACTGCAATATATTTGGGCAGCTAAAGCATTTGAAATATCTGGGTCCAACATATAGACTGCAAGTCTGCTTTCTATTCTCTTGCATTCAAATTTTTCGCATGTGAACTTAAACTGGGTCCCAAGCATCTCCAGCAGCATTGAAATAATAGTTTACTTCAGTGTTGAGGTTTGAGAAACCAAAGTCTAAGTCAACTTTGTTTTTGCAAAAGTCGGCGAATGACATTTTATTTGTTCCCACTACTTCTGTAAGAGTGAATGGGTCTTGTGTTGGTGCAATGACTAAGTTATTTTTGCTTGGAGTAAGTTCGATAGAAATTTTTCCTGCCCAGTTTGGCAAGTATCTTAAAAACCTGAAGATGAGGAAAGATGACAAAGGAACTCTAAGTTTCAGTTTTACTTTGGTTACTGCTGCTGCAGTTTGTCCAGAAAGGTCAACATAAACTCCTGGAACGTTAGGGTCAAGTCTTCTTATTTTCTCAATAGTTGCATACTGGTCTGTTTGTTCTCTAGCTTGTGGTTGTACTGAGTTTCTCAAAGCGAACCATTCATAGTTTGCCCATGTTACTGTTTGAACTAAGTCAGAGTTAGAATATATCTTATATCCCATGAAACTTCTGGAGCATATTGGTATCGACATAGAAAATTCCATTGCAACCTTTCTTGTCAGACAACTTGGCAGAAGGTTTTATTTCAATGTCTTGTTCCACGTATAAGAAAGAGTTGTCAATAGAAATTATATGAAACCTGTCGCAAGCAATATCTACTGTTGTTGAAGAACCTTCTCCAAACTCACCTACGTTTCCATAAGAAACAGCAGTTGTATATTCGTAAGTTCCAGGAACTATTTCTGACCTTCTAATGGCATTGTCGCATTCGTTATACCATTCGGAAACATTTCCATTCATAGCATCCAAAACTGTTGGCGTTATATTCTGAGCGGCGTACATTTCATATGAGTAAAAATATAGAATAGTTGGATTTATATGTCATAATAGAACCCACGTGGACCAAGCTTTACTTTCTTCCTGACTGAGTTTTTAACTCTTCTTTTTCCTTCATTGCCCTCTGCTTGAAGTTGTTGCATCTTTGCATTATGTTCATCTAGTATGTTGCAAATTTTCCCATGTCCTTTTTGCCTTTTGGCTTCTGGTCGCCCATCTCAGGTAACCTATATCCTAGAAAGAGTTTGTCATAGTCTGTATTTGAGTCTTCGCGTATTGTTTGCATGACTCTTTCCTGAGTTTTCCGGTTCAAGCTCTTCAAACAGTGCCTGTCCATATGGAATATGCTCGTTTCCAAATATATGTTTTTTGTAGCCATTCTGGTTTTCTTTCCATGTTACCAACTATATCTTTTGTGAATGGGAAAGCTTCTACCCAATCTTTCAGTCTTGCGTCGTTATTTCTGTAGTTGGTTTTATTTTGTCAAGGAACATGTTTTTCAATACTAACATTTCATTTGGTACTGTCCATTTGAGTTTTCTTAAATATTCATCCCTTCTCGGTTCATTGTCTGCAAAGTAAGTTTTTATGACATTTTGTAAACTTTCGTTTGCAAGGTCATGTACAATAGGTTCTCTTCCTTCTCCTCCTCCTAACTTTCTTTCTAAACTCTTCACCAAATATACCATCTCTATGGTTCTGTGTAGTTCTTTGAGATAAATGTTCTAGAACGTCAGGTGTTATATTTCCATCAGCCATGTTCATTTCATACTGGTCCAAAATATCTGCATGTTTCATATCTTTCAATGGCATTAAAGCCGCGCTTAAAATACCAGCTATATCTGGTTCACCATTCTTCCATTGCGTCTACAACTTCTTGGAATTGTGGTTGTAAGTTTATGAACCACCTATCCGGATTAGCTTTATGACCCCATCTCATTGTAGTTCCATCGTCTGCAGAAACAAAAGTAGGTTTGTTTCCATCTTGGTTAGGTTCTGAATGAACTTTAAACAATGTTTCATTTCTATATGTTTTCTTGAAATTTAACCTTTTATTTTCACCGAGTTCATCCGAAGATTGAACGTTAAATGCTCGTAAGTAAAAAGGGTTGTTGTATTTGTGTACATTTTTTTCAGTTCTTCCATTCTATGCTGAATATTTTCATCTGGTGTTGGAGTCTTTTGTATGTCGGCAAACATTTTTCGATATTCTTCTACTATGTCAGCCGAATTTTTTTTAGACTCTTGGAAATATTCCATATTCTCCGCATACTCTTGTTGAGGGTCAAGATTTTTCGGCTGTTCCAAATCTTCATCTAGTTCTGTGAAGTTAGTTTCCAAAGGAGTGACTTGTTCGTTTCCTTCAGGCTCTTCTAGCTGTTGTTGCTGAACTATTTCTTCCATGTCTGGTTGTATCTGAACTTTTCTTCCTGTGGAGTTTCTTGTACCTCATCTGCTGGCATTTCATATATTCCGAGACCGTTTTCAACAATTCCCTATCTACGTCATCCGCATTCATAAGCTTTTTCTTTCGTTCCGTCTCTATTTTTTACGCGTTTCATGACGAAGTTGAATTGTCATTTAGCTCTGACATCAAATATCTCGGAGTAAATTCATCCATGTCATTTGGATGATATGCTATTAAATCATATCCCTTAGCGAGCTTGTATTTTCCAGGTTTGAATTATATCCGTTTGGTGCTGAGCCATAAAGCTAAATAGGTTCGGGTCAGTATTTCCATCCTTGAACTTTCTAATAGCTTCTTTATATCTGTCACTAAAGTCAACAGTATCTGGGAAACCACACTCTTCTTTAAGCATTTTTAAGAATTCTTGGTTTCCTTGTTCTCTACTTCTTTTATGTCCTTGCTCTGTTTGTGGTTGTTGTGTGCAGGGTTTTGAACTGTTGGTTGCTGTGCTGGTTGTTGTGTTGGTTGTTGTGCTGGTTGTGGAGGTGGTTGTTGTTGTGGTTGTTGTGCATGCCTGTGTCTGTGTCCATGTGACGATGTAAATGTTTTAGGTAGTCCTGGTGCAGGTGCTTCTCTTGGAGGGTTTGGTGGTATATAAGTTCCACCAGCTGGCACATATGTTCCATCTGCAGCGTAATGTCCTACCTGACTTTTCGTTTTTAAGAAAGCATTTACTAGGTCTGTTTTGGTCTGTTGTAACTCTTTTTCTTGACTTTCCACAACAGTTGCTCTAACGGCGTCATAGGCACTTTGAACTGCCTGTCTCGTTGCTGCATCTGTTATTTTCGTCATATTTTGTGCTACTTCTCTTAACTCTTTGTCGAAACCTTCAGACTTCAGTTTCTTTCCAGATGAGAAGTCGTTCACTTGTTTCACCTTACTATGAAGAGCTTCGAAGGCGTTCTTAAAGTCAGCATTTGTTAAAGCTTCATTTGAACTGTCTTCATCCGCTTGTATTTTTGTCCTTATTGACCCTATGAGTTGGGCTGCTTTAGCGTTGGCTTGGGCATCTAACCAGTCATTGTTAGCTTTTATATATTCTGCGCTTTTCATTGCCTTTTGCATGGCTGCGTCGTTATTTTTACTTTCTTGTGCTAAGTTTTCATACTGTACGGTTTGGTTTTGCAACTGTAAAAGTTTTTCTGCCTTTACATTTGCTTCAACTTCTTTTTTATACTCATCGCTATCCATATATGTCTTCAGGGCTTTTTGTTTTATCTCTTCATCTTTCAGTACTTTATATTGAGTAGTATGGTTTTTCAAATTTATGACATCTTGTTCCATTTTTGCTACTTCTGCTGCTTTTTCTGACACTTTTTTCGCATATTCCTCTGTACTTAGTTCTTTCAGTTGTTCTTCTTTCTTCTTTTTCTCTACGTTTAACTCATTGAGTTTCTTTGTGTGTCTGTCATATTCTAGTTTCTTTTCGTTTTCACTTATTTGCTTCTGTATGTCTATGTTTGACTTTTTGACATCTGTTATTTGATTTTTGAGTGAACTCAAATTCATTTGACTTTGAGGGTTATAGCTGTTCCGTCTGCAGCTCCACCATAGCCTGCCATTTTCGCTAAAAGTGCCGCTCTTAAACCTCCACTCTGTGCACCAAAACTCGGTTTAAAAGCATAGGATTGCTTGACATTTGTTGCAACATAGTGGGGTCATTCAGCATTTGTTGTTGCAACTGTTGTTGTGGTGTCAGTTTTACTATTGGATGTTTCAATGCTCTCTTCCTCTTACGTATATTCTTACGTAGCTTACGTGGCATTTTAAGTGAAGTTAAAAAGCGGTTTTTGACAGATGTTTATATGACACTTTTTGTTCAGCACAAAAAACTACTCGGTCAAAGTGTTGTCAGTTTTGTAAAATAACCGTCCTATCTCATTCTATAAGGGGAAAGGCTTCTCAAAGTATACTTCCTTGGAACGCCTGTAACTTTTCCTGTAGCGACGATAGACCCTTACTTGTCCGGACAAAGTTATACTATTTTGAGTGCTCTACAAAAAAGTCAACGGCGACGACTCTCAAAAACCGTTGTGTAAAAAGTTTTACCGTTGGACAAAAAAGTATATATAGAAAACAAAAAACGTTTATAGTTCATTCAATATTTGAGATGGAACGGTTTGCCAACGGTAACTATTAAATAAAATAAAAAAATAGAGGGGGTTACCGTTGACGAAAACGGTTTATTTTAAACTTTTCTATGAGTAGTCCGAAAAAAACAGTTTATTTTTGTCTAATGGCATTCGCTAGCGTGTTCGCTCCAAATTCACCTGAAGAAATTGCTTGCAAACTTTCAGCACCCACAGGTTTAGAGCCTCAATATCAAACTGCAGCATCTACACATTCTCCAAGCAGAACAGACAAATTCAAATTTGTCCTGCAATTCCTCAATCCAAAGCCACTTTCACTACCAAAAACAATACCAAACGAGCTCCGTATTACAAAGAACCACAGCAACGCTGAACTACGCAAAATACTACTCAGATTGTCTGAAGAATACTTCAATTCAAAGCCAGAAGAAAGAGTTCCTGCAACTTTTAACAAAGAATATTGTGAACAACTCAACAAAGTTCTTGCAGACTTTACCAAACTACAAAAAGAAACACCTGACCCATTCGAATTAGGTGACACAATTGTCAACTATTTTCCAACAATAACAAAGATAATGGTTGACAGAACTATATGTCAGCTTATTGAAAGTCTTCCACCCAAAGCTGCAAAAAAAGTCGAACAGTTTTGTGTCGAATTCAAATTAAAGAGTTACGGATATCAAGATGACGAAGAAGAACGTGAGTACGGACAAGAAACAGCAAAATGGCAATGTCTTAGCTCACTCAACCCCAAGTTCAAACCATTATTTTACTCAGACAACAACACAATTCAAGTACGCAAAATTGCTATTCATTTCGTTAACCAAGCAGAAGACATTGAAGAAGGAGACTCTATCTCAGTTTATGTTTGCTACTGCAAATTTTTCAAGGACGAATTTGGAGGACCAATTCTCATGCATGTCTTCAAGCCACATCAGCAACTCTACGTTGAAACTGAAATAACACTCATGCATGGAATGTATCTCAAGTTTGAAAGCCAATTGGAAAACACATACAACATTTGGCTTTCATACATTCAATTCGATACACCAGATGACTTTGATGTTGAAGAAGAAGACTCTACTCAAGAAGATGAACCACAAGACTCACAATTTTCCGAATAAAAACCTCATTTTATACTAAACATCTTCGGGGCTAGAAGGGGCGCAGCCCCTGGAAGCCCCACTTCCTTTTTTTTTTTTTTTTTTTTTTTTTTTTTATTGTGCTTTAATTTCCAAAATTTTGTATACATCTTCCTCAAAATTTTTTTTCTTTGGTCTTCCTCTTTCTTTTATTGGATAGCCGAGTAGTACGAAATTTTTTTTCAAACGTTCTTTTCCTATTGAAAGTGTTTTTGCCGTATCTTCGAGAGTTACATTTGGATTATTAATGTATTCTTGATATTTTTCTTCAATTACGTTGAGAACCTGATCGGCGGGAACGGTTGGGAGTTGAAAAGTTTTAAGATCTTCTGGGTTTTCGAGACGAACCAAGATGTCTTCCATTTTTTAATTTGTAAATTTTTCAATTTTTCAAAAGATAATTTAAAAATACTAGTTATTTGATAAAATTTGTTTATTTTAAATAAAACAATTTTTTTTGAAAAAATTATATTAATGATTTGAAGGCAAAAGCCAAAAACTTAATAGATAAAACACTCTTTCTATATAGATCAATTTCTATTATTAAATTTATAAAAATGGAGAGATTTTGCAAATTATTTTCTAATATATTATATTTATAATCATTTTATTTATCCCATTAATAATTGTGAACCCAGAACATCTTCCCTTCAAAGTGCCAAGCATCAACACACATTCTCACTCACAAATTTTTAAAACTCATTGCCAAAAATCTAAAAAACTCACAATTTTTTTAAATTGATAACCCTCAAACCGTTTCCAATCAATAATTTGAGAGTCTATATGATAATGTAAAAGTTAAAACATTCAAGTATTTAAGTATTTCTTTAAAATATTAAGTTTTTTATTTTTCCAATAAAATTCTAATATCAAATATTTTTATTTAACGATTAATTTTATTTATATTTTTATAGTTTTTTTTAAGAAAAAATATTGTTAGGTTTTTATGGATTTTCAATTAATATACAAGATAATTCATAAATGTATATATTTCCAAGTTTTTAAGGATGCAACACTTTACATTTGTAAACTGTCAAAAATGAAGTCACGCTATTTTTCATGCATTACACATTAACTGGAACAAATTACACGCCAAATCAAATGTATCAGCTGAAACCGAAATACACAAATGCAGATACAGAAAGGTTGTGGCAAATATGGGATACAGATACAGGCATGACCGCTGTTGACACATTCACAGCGTAATAATAAACATAATTTTTTAATTTCATTTTTAACAAGTTTTTTTAAATGTATGTAATGAATAATTCATTAGAATATGATAATGCACATTGTAACAGAATAGAACAATCACCAAATTTTTTTTTTGAAATTAAAAAAAAAATAAAAAGTATAAAGTAATCTAACCAAAAAAGATATTTAAAAGAATTTTGGAAAAAACAGAATAAGGATAATGATATTATTTTAGATACACAATCGATGTACTGAAGAATAATCCGGTAAAATGATGATATAAAATTAGATTATTTTACAAGTAGCTAAAAGAATAAAACTATAATATAAAATAAATGAAGTTTAATGAAACAATAAAGGTTAAATAAATAATAAAGATTTTTATTTTATATCAGTATTGAGAAGAAGTAACAGCTGACACTTGGTAGAAAACTTCTTTATGTCTAGAAAATTCTATCTTGCCTTTTATTTTTTTCTCGCTGTGAAACGTATTCGGTCATTTTTTTAAAAATTAATTTTTTGTTAGAGATAAGAGCTAAAACTCGGTAAACAACTTTTTTATGTCTAGAAAATTCTATCTTGCCTTTTATTTTTTTCTCGCTGTGAAACGTATTCGGTCATTTTTTTAAAAATTAATTTTTTGTTAGAGATAAGAGCTAAAACTCGGTAAACAACTTTTTTATGTCTAGAAAATTCTATCTTGCCTTTTATTTTTTTCTCGCTGTGAAACGTATTCGGTCATTTTTTTAAAAATTAATTTTTTGTTAGAGATAAGAGCTAAAACTCGGTAAACAACTTCTTTATGTCTAGAAAATTCTATCTTGCCTTTTATTTTTTTCTCGCTGTGAAACGTATTCGGTCTTTTTTTTAAAAATTAATTTTTTGTTAGAGATAAGAGCTAAAACTTTGCAGACAACTCCCCCATGTCTAGCAAATTTAACATTCGTCTCCCATTTTTATATATTTGGTTTAGAAGGTTCGAAAATGCGTAATATGGTCATTAATATTAATTGAAAAGAACCTTGAATTAATTCAATCTGATCTCACAAAATATTTTAAATTCCAAACTTTGTAGTTTGAATAGATAATTAGTATTAAACTCAAATAACTAGTTTATTTTTGAATAAAAATTATTTGAATTTATTCAATTTTGTGAATTTTCCTTCAAAAATCAAGTTTAAATATCTTATTTGCCATATAATTATAAATACAATGAAACATATTCGAAATTGAAAAGAATGACTTTTTCTGTTCTTTCAATCATTCAATTTGAATTTTGCAATATTGGATTTCTCATTAAATAGCTATTAAAAACAACAAGCAATTTAACTTACATTCAAATTTATTTGTGTTATATTCAATCTTCTCAAAACTAATAATTTTCGGCTATAGCATGATTATATGCTATATAATATAATAAACCTATAATAGTATCATTCTTTCAATTATTTGAAGAGAAAACCGAAAAAATCTATTTTCGGTCTATAACAAATCTCAATTTTTTTCAAAAATTTCTAAACTCATTTATTTGAGAATTTTATTGGTTTATAGCACTCAACTTAAATATGTAAAATATTTATGTTTATACAATTGAATCAATATATGACAGATAACACTTTTTCTAAATTTTGAAATAGTCTCATTAAAAATTATAAGCTATTATGTTTTACTCAATTTTATCGCATTCTATTTTTTTTTAATAGAAAATAGATTCATTTATATGGTCTCTCTTATGCAAATCTCGCAACAAGCTTAAACCGATATATTATAAAATTTGAATCGAAATATTTCCATTATCAAATCAATTTTGACAATTCTCGTCGAATATTTATCGCGTAAATTTTTTGATCGGTTCAATTCTCCATAATAATTGATAATAGAGCATAGTATATAGATTGTAAATTTTACGAATTTGAGACAATATTTGAGGGGACCTATCACAAAATAAAATTTCAATTTGATAATCGGAATCATTGGTCTTTTCATTAAATTTAAAATAAGAATATTAAAAAGAGTCGTTTAATTCGATTGACGATCCAATACTCTTTTTGAAAAACCTCACAATTTGATCAACCATCTTTTTTTATTCGTTTCATGCGCTCTACCTCCGAGATTTATACCTGAGAGTACATTTTTATCATTACCCTATACTAATAACAAGCTTTGGTTGAAAAATAAAGCTTGTTATTCATAAATTTATAGGCAGCTAAATCTTCTATTCAAAAAATTGAGAGTTTTCCCGATTTCGATTTTCTGTTGTATTTTTTTTTTCTGATCAAAAAAAGATGTTCGTAGAAATACATTGATATACTTAGATCTAGCTAAGCTAAATAAAAGGCTCAGTAATGCATTTCTTTTTTTAGTGGCTTCAACAACCAAATTAAGGAATTTAAATAATACGTGTTAACAAAGTCCACCCAATCTAATTCTGCTATGATGGAGAAAATATTCTGTGGTTGAATCTTATTCAAAATCAAATTTTGAATTAATTATCACATAAACCCTATATTGAATAATTATAGACCATAACATTTCCATTACATCTGGTTAGAATCATAAATATTAAAGCCAGAAATATATTATCGAACAACATTGATAAATGGACAACTGTAACTAATATTTTTAAAGATATGATATACCATTTCTATCACAAAGCTTCTGGTAGGAATATACAGAGTTTTATTCCTTTTCCATTTAAAATATCCAATATTTCAGATAAAAAATGGAAAATTTGGAAATTACTAAATGAATTCGGAACTGAAATGCCAAATACTACAAGTATGATCCTTTTTTTGCCATTAATTAGCTATTTCCGAGTATCAATATTTTTGATTCTTATCACATTTCAGCTGATTAAGATTCACTTTTATAGACATAAAGTTGAAGGCACATTTTATCTTAAAAAGATTAATAAATATTTAAAAAAAATCAAAATTATTTATTTCTTGAATCTATTCAATGTTTCAACAAATAACTCTCTTGCAAGTCTTGCAGATAACTTTGTTCCACCCTTCATCTTCATCTGGTCGAAAACTAGTTCTGTATTATATCCATGTCTGGCCTTTATTTCGACCAAATCTTCTCTTACATCGCTAATCTTTGCATTGATGAAATTAACTTTATCTGTAAACAATGTTGATGTCTTATTCTTCATTGTGAATGAAGTGATATCAATGGAAATATTAACTTCATCGCCAACAGACAATTTGCAATCGAAATTAGCTCTTGCCCTTCTTAAAGCTGTCGCCAATTTAACGACAGTTGAATTTGGCTGAACAACAATTGTCTGTGTCGTAAATTGTTCGGAACTTATTGGTTCCAAAAGAACATCAGCGTTAACTGTCATTACGACAAGGCATCTTAAGTACTGGTCATTTCCATTTGTGATGTAAGAGTTTCCTTCTGCGATATCAGTCCATTCTCCATTAACTTGTCTCTGCCATTTGATATCGACTTCTGTTGCTGGAGGACCACTGTGGACAATATCAAGTGTCAACTCATCTCCAACATAAAAAGCCTTGGATTGCTTTTGTCCGTTCGAAATGAAATTGACAGTTTCGATCTTTGGTGAGAAAAGTTCTCTTGTATCCATTGACAAGTAAACCAATGCTTTCTCACCTTTCTGCCCTTGTGTACCAATTGTTTGGAGCTTGCAGAATGGTGGATAATCGAAATCATCTTCTGTTATCTCTCTTTCCTTTGTATCGATATCAGTGTATTGTTCTTCTCCATCGACCAAATATCCCCAAAGATATTCAATTGTTCCTGGAGCACCGTCTGTTTCGACTTCGCAAATGAATGATTTGTAATCCTTTGATGGTTTGATTACAGCATTCTTTATAGCGACAACTCTTTCGGAAGGAGCAACAGGAACTTTGATTTCGTTTGTTTCCATTGGATTTCCTTCTTCTCCGTGGTTATTTGTTGGTATCAATGTTGCTGAAATTGTCCAGTTAGAGAACTGAATGTAATCAATTTCAATCCATGTTCTGTTTGTCCTTGCAATCTCTTGGAACTCTGATGAGTCAGGTCTCTTTCCTCTCCATATGATCGTGTGCTTTCCTTCGATGCCGCCTTTGTAGTTCTCCCAGTAAACACCGATATATTTCGTCTGTCTTCCGTTCTTCACTCTGCCGTCTTCGATCTTTATTGTCAAGTTTTCGACGGTTGGAGGAAGTGACTTTATTTCTGGCATGTAAACTGAGAAGAGTTCTTGGGAGTTTACTCTGTCAACGATTCTTACTGTTATCTTCTGGTTCAAGTCGTTGACAGTTGGATTGAAGACGAGGCCTTCTGCAAGCAATTCGCCGTTTGCATTCTCCCAGAAAACTCTCATTCTCTTTGTCAACTGCTGAGAAACAATGACTTTTGTTGATCCTTTAGGAACTTTCTCTTGTTCTTGGGCAATGACCAATGACTCGTTTTCATAGATTTCAGGGGGGAAAACCAAATTAAGTGGAGTTTCTTGTTCGGCAAGAATGTCTGTTGGCTTGATCTGCATTGTATCGGATTGTGTCGATGTTCCTCTCTTTCCGTCGAGAGAAACAGGAGTAACAATTGCTCTGAACGAAAATCCTTTGTCGGCTAAGACAACGTGGTATGATTTTCCGAAAGAAATCGGTGTTTCTTTGCCACTTTTGTCGATTTTGTTCCATTGAACAACTGTTCTGCCCTCGAGACCTCCGGAATAGGTGTAAGTAACGGAGATCATTGATGAGGCGGGCTCGAAATGAAGCTGTAAATCAGTGGCTGTTGGATCTGCTGCTTCAATTTGTCCGAGTAATGCGAAATAACTGTCTGTGAATAGGACAACGAGACATTTGATGAACTCCTTCTTTGCTGTGAAGGATTTTCCATGTCCCTGGCTATGAATCTTGTTGGATGCGACAATTGCCCAATCAACTTCATCAGGAATGACAACTGTCTCGCCTTCGTGGATGATATTGGTCTTGCCGCTATCTTCGTCGTCGATTGTCATCATTATCTTGCCTTGCTTTGAAGTTGTCCTGTAATTTAGGAATTTTTCTGCAAGAACCTTATTCTTTCCTTGCTGTTTGATGGCTGGAAATTCGGTAATGACTGGTTTGCCAATAGATCCATCACTGCGCAATGGTGTCATCTTGCATTTAACGAGTTTGCCGACATCTTCTGCTGTTGGAACAACAACAGGGCGGCTGCGCTCATCGTTCTTGCCAATATTCCACTCGTAGCGGCAGTTTCCTTGGATGCCGCCTGTATACGTGGCAACAGCAAATAAGGGGGAGCCAACGGTGCCAGCCCCTGTAATAAGTTGGTCGGAGAATTTCGGAGCGGAAGGCTGTACTCTTTCACTGGATGTGAGCATTAGTGGTGGTCCGCCACCTTCTGTGAGGCAAACGGCGCGAATTACGCAACCGATATCGTATACAGTAAGTTTGTAAGTAAGATTGTCGGCATCAAGGGTGCAAACATTCTTCCATTCACCGTGATGAGCACTGCGGAGGATTCTGACGCCCTTGAAAGTAGCTTTCGATCCACGAGTCGAAACATCAAAGGAAATATCATCACCTTCAATCATCTGGCCTTGCATACGGAGAGACTTGAAGCGGAATTCGCCTGGTCTGACCGGCGTTGTAATCAATCTTGTAGTTGGAAGTCCTGGAGCTGGAGAGATATCACATGCAATGATATTTCCAATATCTTTGGATGTAAGAGGTAAAACAAGGCAGTCCTTTGAAATGATTTCGTCATCTTCGAAATTACGCCATGTAATCTCTGAACTGAGAGGAGCTTTAACAGAAATAATGCCGCTTTCAACTGCATCACCGCATAACTCGGCGTAAATATGGTATGATTCGTCGAATTCTGGGATGATTACTGTTGTATTTTGGATTCCTTTGATGACGCATTTCAAAGGTGAGTTACGGAATGTAGTAATTGTTTGTTGGTTTGTGTCAAGGTTTCTCCATGTGAATGTATCATCAAGTATACACCATGAATAAATATCTCCTTCTGTATTTACAGTGACTAGCTGATCATTTTCTGGATCAAGGGAGTAAGCTTGAGAGTTTGCATCTGGGAAAGCGTATTCAAGAGCCATTTGGAGAGCTTCCTTTGGATCTTCTGGAATATGAGGATCCATTCCATGACGTAATGCATAAGTAACAAGTCCTGAGTAGCGGAAACTGTCCTCCATAGCTTCTGTTGAAACTTTTTCGCCGTTAATATCAGTAAGATAAAAAGAACGAAATGCTATTAAAATTGCTCTTGTTTCAAACTGAACAGAATTACCACGGAGATCAAGAACACGCAAATTTGGATATGATTTAAGACCAGAGAAGTTAGGATACTGTGTATTCTGAAGACGAAGAATTCTCGCAGATTGAGGAGTAGATAAACTAGCAAATGTGGCATCTTCTACTTCCTCCTGTGGAATCTTTAATGTTTTCTTAATTGGAGTTATTGATTTCCTTGTGGTTGTTTTATTTGGAGTTTTCTTCTCCATTTTTTTTATCCGAGAAAAATAAATTATAAACTCCATTTCAAAACTTAGACATACTTAAACTATAGATTATGAAATAGTAGCAAATGAAATGCATTTTTCACTGAGAAATTAATATGATAACTTGAGATTTTATATACGTTTCAGATTGAATAATCGATTATAAGGCATTATTAGTTAATGGTTCTCACATCCAAAGATTTTACAACTTATGTATTAAGAGAAATCATTGTAATGAGAAGTGTTTCATTGATGAAAATCCAAATGAATGAACAATCAAGAATAACCTGATACAATGATTTTCAAGAGCTAATCACACAGAAGACAAGTATTTATTGTATCATATACATCATATGAAAAATATGCATTGAAGTTCATACTTATTATCGTTGATGCTACATGTATCAGATAGCTCTATGACAATATAAATGAAGCTATATATTCTCATGATCTATTGCTTTCTTCGAATTTGAAATAGGAATGAATGTTGATCCTAAATCTCGAATTTTTATTTATTTATAAAGAACTAAGGGTTTCGTTTTGCTAAAATTGTCACTTTTATAGCATATTTGTTTTTGGATGTTTTGCGAAACCAAAAAAAAAAAAAACTATGATATACAAAAAAAAAAAAAAAAAAAAAAAAAAGGTAGTGGGGCTTCCAGGCACTTCGTGCCTTCTAGCCCTGAAGATGTTTAGTATAAATGAAGTCTTAGAGGACAAACATGACTATGAGTTTTGATATGACAAGATAGAATATGAGAGAGGTCCTATAAACCGGAGAAAGTGTTATATAAACATCTGTCATATTACTCAGAATATTATACAGAATTCAATAAAAATATATTTTAGGTGAAGAGGTGAGATTTCACCTGTTTTTTCACCTCATTTTTCACCTCTTGAATTTTCATGAATTTCATCGTAAAGACTTTGTCAAGATTTCATCGTAAAGACTTTGTCAAGATTTCATCGTAAAGACTTTGTCAAAACTTCATCGTAAAGACTTTGTCAAAACTTCATCGTAAAGACTTTGTCAAGATTTCTTCGTAAAGACTTTGTCAAGATTTCTTCGTAAAGACTTTGTCAAGATTTCTTCGTAAAATCAGACAAAAATAATGTTTAGGTGAAGAGGTGAGATTTCACCTGTTTTTTCACCTAATTTTTCACCCTCTTGAATTTTCATGAAATTTACACCAAAAATATACTACTAGGGTCATTTACGAAGAAATCTCAACAAAGTCTTTACGAAGAAGTCTTAACAAAGTCTTTACGAAGAAGTCTTAACAAAGTCTTTACGAAGAAATTCATGAAAATTCAAGAGGTGAGAAATGAGGTGAAAAAAGAGGTGAAATCTCACCTCTTCACCTAAAATATATTTTTGGGTCATTTACACTCATTTACGAAGAAGTCATAACAAAGTCTTTACGAAGAAGTCACAATAAAACATCTGTCAAAAACCGCTTTTTAACTTCACTTAAAATGCCACGTAAGCTACGTAAGAATATACGTAAGAGGAAGAGAGCATTGAAACATCCAATAGTAAGACTAACACCACAACAACAGTTGCAACAACAAATGCTGAATGACCCCACTATGTTGCAACAAATGTCAAGCAATCCTATGCTTTTAAACCGAGTTGTTGGTGCACAGAGTGGAGGTTTAAGAGCGGCACTTTTAGCGAAAATGGCAGGCTATGGTGGAGCTGCAGACGGAACAGCTTATAACCCTCAAAGTCAAATGAATTTGAGTTCACTCAAAAATCAAATAACAGATGTCAAAAAGTCAAACATAGACATACAGAAGCAAATAAGTGAAAACGAAAAGAAACTAGAATATGACAGACACACAAAGAAACTCAATGAGTTAAACGTAGAGAAAAAGAAGAAAGAAGAACAACTGAAAGAACTAAGTACAGAGGAATATGCGAAAAAAGTGTCAGAAAAAGCAGCAGAAGTAGCAAAAATGGAACAAGATGTCATAAATTTGAAAAACCATACTACTCAATATAAAGTACTGAAAGATGAAGAGATAAAACAAAAGCCCTGAAGACATATATGGATAGCGATGAGTATAAAAAGAAGTTGAAGCAAATGTAAAGGCAGAAAAACTTTTACAGTTGCAAAACCAAACCGTACAGTATGAAAACTTAGCACAAGAAAGTAAAAATAACGACGCAGCCATGCAAAAGGCAATGAAAAGCGCAGAATATATAAAAGCTAATAATGACTGGTTAGATGCCCAAGCCAACGCTAAAGCAGCCCAACTCATAGGGTCAATAAGGACAAAAATACAAGCGGATGAAGACAGTTCAAATGAAGCTTTAATGAATGCTGACTTTAAGAACGCCTTCGAAGCTCTTCATAGTAAGGTGAAACTAGTGAACGACTTCTCATCTGGAAAGAAACTGAAGTCTGAAGGTTTCGACAAAGAGTTAAAAGAAGTAGCACAAAATATGACGAAAATAACAGATGCAGCAACGAGACAGGCAGTTCAAAGTGCCTATGACGCCGTTAGAGCAACTGTTGTGAAAAGTCAAGAAAAAGAGTTACTACAGACCAAAACAGACCTAGTAAATGCTTTCTTAAGAACGAAAAGTCAGGTAGGACATTATGCTGCAGATGGAACATATGTGCCAGCTGGTGGAACTTATATACCACCAAACCCTCCAAGAGAAGCACCTGCACCAGGACTACCTAAAACATTTACATCGTCACATGGACACAGACACAGGCATGCACCAAAACCAGCACAACAACCACCTCCACAACCAGCACAACAACCAACACAACAACCAGCACAGCAACCAACAGTTCAAAACCCTGCACAACAACAACCACAAACAGAGCAAGGACATAAAAGAAGTAGAGAACAAGGAAACCAAGAATTCTTAAAAATGCTTAAAGAAGAGTGTGGTTTCCCAGATACTGTTGACTTTAGTGACAGATATAAAGAAGCTATTGGAAAGTTCAAGGATGGAAATACTGACCCGAACCTATTTAGCTTTATGGCTCAACACCAAATCGGATATAATTTCAAACCTGGAAAATACAAGCTCGCAAAGGGATATGATTTAATAGCATATCATCCAAATGACATGAACGAATTTACTCCGAGATATTTGGTGTCAGAGCTAAATGACAATTCAACTATCTTCATGAAACGCGTAAAAAATAGAGACGGAACGAAAGAACAAAGGCTTATGAATGCGAATGACTTAAATAGGGAACTTGTTGAAAACGGTCTCGGAATATATGAAATGCCAGCAGATGAGGTACAAGAAACTCCACAGGAAGAACTAGTTCAGATACAACCAGACATGGAAGAAATAGTTCAGCAACAACAGCTAGAAGAGCCTGAAGGAAACGAACAAGTCCTTCCTTTGGAAACTAACTTCACAGAACTAGATGAAGATTTGGAACAGCCGAAAAATCTTGACCCTCAACAAGAGTATGCGGAGAATATGGAATATTTCCAAGAGTCTAAAAAAAATTCGGCTGACATAGTAGAAGAATATCGAAAAATGTTTGCCGACATACAAAAGACTCCAGCACCAGATGAAAATATTCAGCATAGAATGGAAGAACTGAAAAAAATGTACACAAATACAACAACCCTTTTTACTTACGAGCATTTAACGTTCAATCTTCGGATGAACTCGGTGAAGATAAAAGGTTAAATTTCAAGAAACATATAGAAATGAAACATTGTTTAAAGTTCATTCAGAACCTAACCAAGATGGAAACAAACCTACTTTTGTTTCTGCAGACGATGGAACTACAATGAGATGGGGTCATAAAGCTAACCCGGATAGGTGGTTCATAAACTTACAACCTCAATTCCAAGAAGTTGTAGACGCAATGGAAGTGAATGGTGAACCAGATATAGCTGGTATTTTCAGCGCGGCTTTAATGCCATTGAAAGATATGAAAGATGCAGATATTTTGAACCAGTATGAAATGAACATGGCTGATGGAAATATAACACCTGACGTTCTAGAACATTTATCTCAAAGAACTACACAGAACCATAGAGATGGTATATTTGGTGAAGAGTTTAGAAAGAAAGTTAGGGAGGGAGAAGGAAGAGAACCTATTGTACATGACCTTGCAAACGAAAGTTTACAAAATGTCATAAAAACTTACTTTGCAGACAATGAACCGAGAAGGGATGAATATTTAAGAAAACTCAAATGGACAGTACCAAATGAAATGTTAGTATTGAAAAACATGTTCCTTGACAAAATAAAACCAACTACAGAAATAAACGACGCAAGACTGAAAGATTGGGTAGAAGCTTTCCCATTCACAAAAGATATAGTTGGTAACATGGAAAGAAAACCAGAATGGCTACAAAAACATATATTTGGAAACGAGCATATTCCATATGGACAGGCACTGTTTGAAGAGCTTGAACCGGAAACTCAGGAAAGAGTCATGCAAACAATACGCGAAGACTCAAATACAGACTATGACAAACTCTTTCTAGGATATAGGTTACCTGAGATGGGGCGACCAGAGCCCAAAGGCAAAAAGGACATGGGAAATTTACAACATACTAGGTGAACATGAGGCAAAGATGCAACAACTTCAAGCAGAGGGCAATGAAGGAAAAGAAGAGTTAAAAACTCAGTCAGGAAGAAAGTAAAGCTTGGTCCACGTGGGTTCTATTATGACATATAAATCCAACTATTCTATATTTTTACTCATATGAAATGTACGCCGCTCAGAATATAACGCCAACAGTTTTGGATGCTATGAATGGAAATGTTTCCGAATGGTATAACGAATGCGACAATGCCATTAGAAGGTCAGAAATAGTTCCTGGAACTTACGAATATACAACTGCTGTTTCTTATGGAAACGTAGGTGAGTTTGGAGAAGGTTCTTCAACAACAGTAGATATTGCTTGCGACAGGTTTCATATTATTTCTATTGACAACTCATTCTTATACGTGGAACAAGACATTGAAATAAAACCTTCTGCCAAGTTGTCTGACAAGAAAGGTT